TCTGGGCTCAGCACAGTGGGGCTGGCTTGGGCCTCAGGCCAAAAGGGCACATGAGCCGGGCTGTGGCTCTGGTCTGGGGCTCGGTCCTCTCAAGAGCTCACTGCTGTTGGCTCGGATGCTCTCAGCTCCTAGGGACCTGGCTGTGTGCCCAGGGCTGTGGCAGCCGACACACTGCTGCTCTCTGCCAGGCCAGCGGGTCTCGTCCCCACACTCCTCTCGCCAGCTGCGACGCTGCTTGCAAAGGCCTGGCCACTGGGTCCGGCCACCTGACTCGCCCTGTTTCAAGGTCGGCTGATTTGGGACCTTAACCACCTCTTCAAGAGCTCCTTTGCTGCAGTTGCTGGGTGATAAGGATGGAGGTTTGTGTACAGCTGGGGCCACCTTCGAATGCTGCCCCTGGCCTATCGCCTCTGAGGAGCCCCGGGCCACCTGGCCAGTGTGCTCCACGAGCACCTGCTCCTGAGCACCTGCGAACCAGGGGCCAGCGTCTCCCTGCGCAGCAGGGCAGGCAGGCGTGGGCAGTCTCAAAGGGAGGTGAGGGGTGACGGGTCGCAGGGCCAGCGCAGTTCCAAAGCCCAGCATTCCACATCGGGCCACCTGCTGGCTCCTAGCCCTGCCCTCTGGGCTCCAGGTCCTACCTGAGTCAGCCTTTCTCATGAGGTGGCACAGGTGCACAGCTGGCACCCTGCCAGCAGGGCCTGGGGACCGACAGCCCTTTCACTCCTGGTTTTCATGCTTCTCTGAAAGGTGGGTCTGAGTTAGAATCGCTGTGGTCATGTAAATGTCAGATGTCATCTGTTGCTCAGCTGAACTCTAACCTCGCCCTCCCTTTCTCCTCACGTTGCCCAGCGTGACTGTCTCCTGCTATGAGCTCGCAGGGATTGACGCTGAGCCTGTGCCCTCTTTGTGCCCCGTCCTCATCCCCCACAAAGTGCAGATGTCCAGGGCAGACCAGAGGAGGGGTGTGGGTGCTGCCATCTGGCCCCCCAGGGAGGAGGGAGAAGGTCCCCTTGGAAACCAGGGGCTTTGTGACTGCAGGGCTCCCGGGGAGGGGTGGGTGCCTGGGAAAGCCGGAGTGCCACCAGGCGGTGCCAGGGTGGGGCCCCTCGGAACGGCCAGGCCTGTCGCTCTGGCCAAGGCAAGGCAAGGGTCGGGAACGGGCTTGTCAGGCAGGCTGCCTAGCGACACTCGGAGCCAAGGCTGGGCTTGGGGGCGTGGGTGGGGGGCACAAGCCAGAGTCCAGGGTGGGGGTGGGGCCAGGGGAGGGATTTGGGCAGCGGGTTTGCAGGCACGGAGGTCCTGGCTGTGCTGCACCAGAATGTCAGTGTCCTGGCTGCACTGTCCTCAGCAGAGGGCCCGGCGCAGGGACGGGCATGTGGGGTGAGGTCTGGGGAAGCCAGGCGCAGCCTCCGGGCTCCTTGAATTCCCCATCCAGCTGCTGCCAGCACTTGTGGGGCTGGGCGGGCACCCGTGTGTCATGGAGGTTCCCTGCCTGGCTCGTCCTGGACCCTGGACCCCAGACCCCAGAACCCGGAGGAAGGCCTCTCACAGAACCTCACTGCATTTCACACGTTTGGGCCCAACGAGCCACCCCTGGCATCTGGGAAAGTTTTCAGTCACTCCGGGGAGCTGCCACCAGCCAGGTTCCCAGGTGCTGGCCCAGGGCCCTCTGTGGCTTCTCAAAGGCAGGTCTCGGCTGTCCTCCAGGGAAGGTGGGGTTCAGCCCTGTGCCATGCTGCCACGTTGCAGGAGCCTTGCCGCACTGGCCTCCACATTGGGCAGCACCGGTGGGGACAGTGGCCAACCAGTGCACGCTCTGGTGTTGTCTGAAATGGCCCGTTCTTATTGTTTTATATTTTTATTAGACCTTATTTTTAGTGTTGATAAAGTTAGAAAATCTTTAAATACATGTACATGGTTATGCACAGCGAAGAATCACCCCGCCTGTTTGGTGACCAGTACACGGGCTGTGGCGTCTGACCCGGCATCTTTCCATGTGTCTGAATGAGGGCAGCGCTGACCAACCTGTTCCCATGGTCATTTCCACCCAGAGGCTGCATGAGACACAGGACTGCGTGGACTGTCCACTGTCATCAATATGGGACCAAGTCTATCTATGGCATTTATTTTCCCATTTAAAATTTAAAAGTATGCAAATTAGGAAACTGACAAATTAAGGTTCTAATGTGTGTAAGCCCTGGTCATGCAACTACACCCTCCTGGAGGCCAAGTGCAAGGTGAGGGCCTCTCCTCCCCCGGCCCCGACCCCGACCACCAGCGGCTTCTGCACCAAAGCAAGTGGCTTCCTGTGGGAAGTGCTGTGACCTTCCCGACTCTCTTTTAGGTGCTTCCCCTCCATGGGCGGAGGTATGGGTGCCGCTCTGCCTGGCCAGCCCCACCACACGCACCCCTTCCGGGAGGGGGACACCATGTTTCCAGTGGGGCAGAATTCTGGGAGCGTTTGTGTGTGTGAAGGGTAGGCACACATGGGCACGAGTGTCTGCAGGGCGTGCACCCAGGGTGGGCTGTGCGGGGAGAAAGCCAGCGACCGGCCGGGAGGTGGGACCAGCCTCCACCAGCACTTTCTCAACAACCTGGTGAGGCTCTTGCGTGTTTACTGGTTGCTCACTACGAAGGTGAACGGGCACAAAGTGCTTCCTTGGGTCTTTTGTGAAGTTTCTGTCTGGGGCCGGTTGGCAGCCCTTTTCTTTAAGAGATTAGACAGCATATCACAGCCTGGTGGACATGTGACGTTAAAGTGTCTCTGTTCCAAAACAGACAGGTCACGGCGTGGGTGCTCAGGTCGTGCCCCTGGGCCGCTGACTTCTGTGTGAGCCGCGCTGTGTCTCCGCATGGGGTTTCGGGGGCCGAGGTCTGCCTGTGCACGCTGGTTTTAGCAGTGACCCCTCTGCTGCTGCCTCTGCTGCACGGCCTCTGCTCCCGAGGCCGTGAGCCCCGTACCTCCCAAGGTTTCCAGCTGCACCTCTGCAGTGGTCTTCGTCCACCTGGGTGTGATTATCGGGGTGAGGATGGGGCAGAGGCCTGGTATAAGGTACAAATGAATTTGGGTCCCCCCCCCCACCTCACCACTAGGAATGATTTTTGCTGTAGGTTTTTTTAAGTTGTAAAATACCCTTTTCTTGGAGGTTCACTTGTCACAGCCTGAAGTTCAGTTTTATGGTGCGGTTAGTGTCCTGTGGTGAAAGTCTGGCCGTGTGACCACGCCTCGGTCCTGACCCGCCCCAGAGCCCTCGGTCCCTGCGGAGTCCCAGGCACAGGCACACGCAGGCTCCTGGGCTCTTCTCCGGCACACGGTGGCCTGTCCCCTGCACCACCGAGTGACCCCTGCAGGGAGCCTGTCTCTGTGTGACGAAAGCCGCTTCTCTTCAATAGAGACTTTTATTTGGTTAAAGACATTTCATTCTAGTCTTAATTTGATACTTTTTTTAAAGTCAGGAATGGATAATGTGTATTATCAAATGATTTTTATGCATTTGGGGAAGAGCTTATCAGTTTTCTCCTTTTCTATCACAAATTACATTTATTTCTTACACTGACCCTGTTGCTCCAGGGATAAGCCTAGCTTGATCAGCATGACCCTCTGTCGCTCAAGCTGGACTCGGTGACGGCTCACGGTTCTCACTGTGCACCTGTGCACGTGGCCTGCGCCCCCCCACCCCCACCCCTCCGTCTGGCCTGCTGTGTGCTGTGCTCATCGCGCGAGCTGGGAAGCCGGCTGCGCTGTGTGAGGCGGGGTTGGTCCCAGACACCCTGAAGCTTGAGCCCAAGTTCTCTGCTGATGGGTCGGCTTCCTTAACAGTTTCAGAACTTCCCGGGTTTTCTTTTTCTGTGCTTACAGCCTCGATTCTAATGTTACTTTTCTTAGAATGTATCACTTTCATACAAATTTGCAACTTTATTGGCATGAAGTTGTTCAGGATATTCCACTGTTGGCCACCTCTCAGCGAGGCGCTCACTGAGCACCTGCCCCCCTGCGGTCCCTCGTCAGAGTGTGGGCCGGGCGCCTGTCCTGTTCACTGTGGGCAGAGCGCGGCACTGTGACCTGCCAAGCAGCCATAGCCACACCAGCCAGAGCGCACAGCTGGGTGGCCGCTGTGCTGGGCAGTGGGGACGCAGTTCGCACAGCCCTTTGGGAAAGGCCCCACAGGCCTGCCCAGCTCCGTACAGCTGACCGCCTCCTGCTCCCTCTCCTCTGACTTTTTATGCAAAAGTTAATTGGGTTTCAAAGACTAGTTGATAAAAAAATGGAGTTATGGAAACCTCGGCATAGAAACAATGTAAATTGGATGTGATATGAGCATCGTGTGGGCGTCTCTGGTCCCCGGGGGGCTGTCCACGGCAGTTCCACCACGCACGGTGTCTGTGACATCGGGCCTGCCTTCAGTGTGTGGTCCTCCCAGAGCCTCCAGCCCACCACTGTCTTATCTGCGGCCTCGGGGCCCACCTCCCTGCCTCGTCTGGCTCCTGTCGGCGAGGCCCAGGCCACGGAGCCTGGCAGGGCCGCTCCTTGATCCCAACAAGCAGTGTGCTCGTGGGTGTGTCTGTTGTCCTTCTCCCCCAGAACTCCATGTCCTCGTCCCTGCGGGGGCCCAGAACCCGACTGGGAGCCTGTGTGGAGGGGCCCCTGGTGTGTGTGTTCACGGGGTGGGGTGGCCCCAAGAGACACCTCTGCTCTTTACCAGGAATTAAAGGACACACTTAGTTATAACCTGCCCCCCGAGGCCCCAGCCTGCCACCAAGTCGCCCCTGAAATTCATCGCTGCCTCCTGAGCTTTCCCAGCCCCTCATCCTGCCACCTGGGCCCCCACCCCCGCTGCCTCCATGCATGCCTCACCTCGCCCGCCCCAGCAGCCCCTGGGCCTCAGGGATACCAGCTGCCAGAGCCCTGCCTGTGACTCTGTCCATCCTGGCTCTTCACGGTCATTAATTCTTGTTTTTCTTTTGGTTTTAAGTAAAGGATCAGACGTGTTCACTGAGCAAGGCCAAAGTTGCTGGTGTGGCGGGGACGCGGGCTCCGGACAGCACCTGGGTGACACCACCCCTGTCTTGTGTCTCCACAGGCCCCAGAATGTAGCGGAGGGCTCGCGGCGGCCACGTCCAGGTAACACGCGAACTGGTGACTTGCAGGGCGTGCACAGCGCTGAGCTCAGCTCTCACCCGTCTGAGTGGCTGCAGCAGGGGACGGCTTCTCGGCTCCTCGGGTCCTCAGTGTGGTGCCAGGCTCCAGGGCAGACGGAGCGGCTGTCAGTGCGCGTCTCTGGGCAGCAGTGCTGATGGCTCTGTCCCCCTGCTGGCTCATGGCCTCGTCTGAAAGGCCCAGTGAGCCCTGGCCGGTTTGGCTCAGCGGTTAGAGCGTCAGCCTGTGGTCCAGAGAGACCCGGGTTCAGTTCCCGCTAAGGGCATGTACCTCGATTGCAGTTTGTCCCTGGCCCTGGTTGGTCGTGCCGGAGGCAGCCACTCGATGTGTCCCTTTCACGTCAATGTCTCCCCCCCCACACTTGTCTGAACAAAAAATGGAAAAAATGTCCTTGGGTGAGGATAAAAAAATAAATAAAAGGCCCAGTGAGCACCCTGGCCGGTGCTAAGTGGTTAGAGCGTTGGCCCGCGGACCAGAGAGACCCGGGTTCGGCTTCCGTAAGGGCACGTGCCTCGGTTGCAGTTTGTCCCTGGCCCCAGTCGGGGTCGTGTGGGTGGCAGCCACTCGATGTGTCTCTCTCACATTGATGTTTCTCCCTCTCACTCTATGATGCAAAAAGTGTCCGCAGGTGAGGATTAAACAGAAAGTTCCAGTGAGAACTTGAGCACAGGGCTGTGCATCCCACATGAACGACGTGACCTAACCGATGCGTTTCTGTGCTAGAAAATGGAAAAAGAGCGAAGGACGGAAGGAAGGCGCAGAGGTGAAGACGCGGAGTGTGGAGCGGTGCAGCGGCCAGGGCGTCGCAGCGTCCCAGCCGCGGCCTGAGTGCCCATGTGGAGCGGAGGGAGCCGACAGGAGGCGTCTAGAGGAGGTGATCGGGGGTCGGCTCGGGGGTGGTGCTCGCAGCTGCCGGGGTCCCGCCTCGTCCTGGGCGCCCGCGCGAGTGCAGGGAGGAGGGCGCGGTGGACGGCAGCGGGGCTGCCGCCGGGAGCCGCTGCCCTGGGCCAGGCAGGCGCCCAGCTGGTGATGGCCAGGTCTTTGCCCTTCTGAGGCCCTCACGTGCCTGAGGACAGGAGTTCCGCGGCCACCGGGAGAGCCTGGGCCTGGGGACGGCCCGTCTTGTCTCCACATGTGGTTGGCCAGTGGGCTGGTCTGGCCCTCAGCCAGGTGCTCCATTCAGGCCCCTGTCCCTCTCTCCCTCCATCTTTCTTTGCCTTCTGTGGCCCTGACAGTGTTGAAAGCGACCCCCTCTTTGGGGCTGACCTGGTGTTCTGGGCAGTGGGACCAGCCGTGTGCCTGCACAGGAGTCCTGTCGGGGGCCGTGTCCTCCCTGGAGGCATCAGGGGGCACACCTGCCATCTCTCTGGTCCCCACCAGGGTGCCACTTGGTCACTCAGTGAATGGAGTCTGTGGGCTCCCTCCACCCTGTGCCCCACTCGGCCCCTGTGCCGTTTGGTGGGGCACTTTGAGACCGTGAGTCTTTTGCTCAGCAAAGTCTCACCACTGGTAGCACCAACCGCGCCCACGGATGACTCCTGGACACATGTCCCTGTTCTCTGTTCCGGGTGGTGACTCGCTTCCTCCCACAGTCCTCAGCTCACGTTCTCCCGTGAGGACGCATGTCTCTTACTTCTCTGTCTCGGTGTGGACGCTTGGCCTCTGTGTTCTCTAGACGATAGTCTGATTTACTCTGACGCCGACCTGACCCCAGATGAGTCACTGCGCGTCTCCACGCTCGGGTCCCTGTGCTCTGAGCTCCGTGGATGCTCCAGGGCTGCTGCATTCCTGCCCGCCTGGTCGGCTGACAGCGGAGCACCCTCAGTCCCTCGTGGTGGACAGTGCGTCCATGCAGGACCGGCTGCAGAGGAGCAGCCTCTCCAGGGGGACAGGGGGGCTGGGCCCGTGCACATCCACCTGTGTCTGCTCACCACCTGCCCACGGCGTGAGTCACACTGACCATGGCCCCAAGAGTCATGGACGCCGCCCCCTGCGAGGGCCGAGGCACGTCCGTGCCCACGGGACTGCAGTTTGTCTCTGTCTTCGGTTTTCCTCGGTGGTTCGGTTGTTCGGAGTTGGGGAGACGTCTGTGCTGAGTGTGCTGTGTGGTCAGACTGTGCACATCACTGAGCACGTCCTTGCATCCCCAGTGGCCAGAGCGTGAGCTCCACCGGCTGGAGATGGAGACAGCACAGCACTCGCTGGCCGCTCTGGGCTGGGGCGGCGTCGCAGACTGCAAGGTGGCACCCCCGTTCTCTGCCGTGCTCTGCCGGGGATGTTTTTAGGGTTATCCTCTCTCAGGGACTACATCCTCTTTGCCAGCTCCCCAAGGTGGGGCTGGATCCTTCTTCAATGAGCCACTTTCCAGAAGGTCAGAGTCCCCTGACCGGGGCCTTCACAAGCCCTCCGTGAAGACAGCGTGAACCTGAGGGCTCCGAGCTGCGGCCTCCTTCACACCGTTCCCTGCGGAGCGAGCACAGCGGGGGCCTCGGCCTGAAGAGAGCCTGCGGGAAGTCCCACTGCTCCCGCAGTCTCGACTGGAAGGCCCCCGGAGCAGGGCCCCCGAGCAGCGCAAGGTCAGCGCCTCAGGGCCCTTCGGAAAGGAAGACTGGGCGATCGATCGTGCGGGGCCCGACTCGCCCTGCGTCCTGGGAGCGGTCCGGCGTGCTGCTGCTGGCTGCCGGCTGCCAGTCACTTTGTTTTGCGAGTGAACTTCTGGCTGGTGCTGGAGCCTCACCCGACCGCCGCCCACCTGTCCTCCCAGCGGCATGTGGGTGCCAGCTCCCCGACCGCCGCCCCTCCGGTCCTGCCTCCTGTCGGCTGTGAGCCCTGCCCCTGGGCCCCACTCGCTGCCCAGCGCCAGTCACGGCCACATTCTCCCCTCGTACCTCATCTGAATGGAAAAGTCTGGCCCTGGCCGGTTTGGCTCAGCTGTTAGAGCGTCAGCCTGGGGACCAGAGAGACCCGGGTTCGGTTCCTGCTAAGGGCACGTACCTCGGTTGCAATTTGTCCCCGGCCCTGGTTGGGTCGTGTGGGTGGCAACTACTCGATGTGTCCCTTTCACGTCGATGTTTCTCTCTGTCTCCCTCTCCCTCCCGCTCTGTCTGAAGATAAATGCAAAGATGTCCTCAGGTGAGGGTAAAAAAAAAAGAAAAATGTCTGCGTCCTTGGGCTGTCTACTTTCTCCTCCTCCTTTCCAATGGCCTTGCGCAGTGAGCCCTGTGCCCTCGGGCGCAGCGTGAGAGCTCGCTGTCCACGGCGTCTGCCCACGCTTGCTGTGGTGCCCGCTGCTCTTGGTGACGAACGTGGCCCTTTCGCCTTTGCCTCTGACGGCCACAGTTTCTGTTTCTGGGCTTGGCGCAGAAGGCTGCTCGTGATGCTTGTTTGCGGGGCGTCTGCTCAGTGAGTTCCTCCGGGCCCTGCTCTGTGTAAGGCGTTTTGTGTCGGCTCCTACCCGCTGCTGAAGCCATCGCCCCCCCAGGGCTGTTCTGGAGGCCAGAGTCAGGCCAGGTGTTGAGGGGCTACTCCTTCTGGAGGCTCCAGGGGGACTCAGCCTTGCCCTTTCCCGCACCCCTGGCTCGCGGCCCCGCCTTCCAGCCAGCAGCACCACCAGCCCCCGTCTCTCTCTGCGACTCTCCTGGCTCCCCCGATCAGGACCCCGTGATGACATGGGGTCCACCCGCGTGATCCAGGCCTGCTCCCATCTCATGGACCCTTTGCCGCGTGCGGTGACGTGCAGGTTTGGGGCAGGATGTGGACCACTTCAGGGCTGTTCTGCCGCTCGGTGCAGCGACACCCTCTGATCTAGAGACGGAGCCCTGACCGCCAGGGCTGGCCGCTCGCGGTGCACAACACTGGGACTCCCACACCGTCCGCGTGCTAGCTGGTGTCCTGCAGGAGAGTGGCAGGGACAGCGGTGACCCTGCTCCAGGCCGAGGGCCACCGCATCCCGTCGGGGCAGGATGCGGGGCTGCTGGGGTCCTGGTACCGGGAGGAGGGCTGGAGCCCCTGCTGGTTCGATGGAAGACATTCCGGCCGCCTTCAGTGTGCTCTCTGTTGCCATTCTGAACAGTTGCAGTGAACAGCTTTTGAACTTGACTGGTTATTATGATAAATTTCTAGAAATGGCACATCAGCCCTGGCCAGTTTGGTTCAGCGGTTAGAGCGTCGGCCTGCGGTCCTGAGAGACCCGGGTTCGGGTCCCGCTAAGGGCACGTACCTTGGTTGCAGTTTGTCCCCGACCCTGGTCGGTTGTGCGGGTGGCAGACACTCGATGTGTCCCTTTCACATCGATGTTTCTCTCTCTCTCTCTCTGTTCCTCTCTCTCCCTCCCACTCTACCTGAACAAAAAATGGAAAAATGTCCTCGGGTGAAGATAAAAAAAAAAAAAGAAATGGCACATCAGGCGGGTAGCCCTGTGAACACCCGCTTCCCGATCTCTCTCATGTCAGCGACACCTGCTGAGACCTCCTGTCAGCGCTGTGCTCCTCCAGACTAGGGCTCGCCGCCCTCCTGCATCACGCGTCTCCAGGCCGGAGCCTGGTGCGGAAGAGGGCCTCTCCTCCCCTGCGGCCTTTTGTCTGCTCGGCTTGCCAGATGAGCCGGAGGCTTCCGCAGATGCCCCCCCCTTCCCACTCCAGACCTCACGCAGCCCACGGCCCGCTTCCCAGGCCTGGAGCACCACAGACCACCCTCACCCGCGCCGCCAGCTCGCCAGCTGCCTCTGCGCAGTCCTGAGCAGGGGGAGGGGCTGTGTGCTGGCAGGGTGCTCGCTCAGTGCCCAGGCCACGCTGCCCTGGGTGCTGTGGGGCAGCCCAGTCCCCTGAGGCCGCCGCACTGTACCCGCCTGCAGAGTGGACGCTGGCTGGGACCTGCCCAGGGGTGGTGCAGCCTTGGCCACTTGTGGTCTCCTGGAAGGATGTCTTCTGATTTCATTTACCTGGACGTACCAGAGTATTTCAGATATTAATCGATGTGCATTTTTCTCTTGCAGAAGCCAAAGATGTTGACCAGAAAGATTAAACTCTGGGACATAAACGCCCACATCACCTGCCGTCTGTGCAGCGGGTATCTCATCGACGCAACCACGGTGACCGAGTGTCTGCACACGTGTATGTGTGAATGTTCTAGAACATGGCCTTTGTCAGCCGTGTGGATTGCTGTCTGACCGAGTGGACACGTGTGTGTGAGAATGTTCTAGAATGTGGCCTTTGTCAGTCATGTGGAGTGCTGTCTGACTGCACACGCGTGTGAGAATGTCCTAGAACATGGCCTTTGACAGTTTCTAGCATTTGCCCTTTGGTACGTAGCTTTTTTTTTTTTTCACCAAAAGCTTTTAGCTGAAGCAGAAGGCAGGACACAGAAGCAGGACTAAAAAAGATCTTAAAGATAAATCAGAAAAATTATTTCAAATTAAAAATACTGTGGGTAATTTCAACAGAGATACCATTTAAGAAAGCTAAATACAAGGAGATTTCTTTATTTGCATAGGACAGCCAGACCAGTAACTGGAAAGAGAACGTCATTTCTAGTGGGCAGAGTGCTTGTTCCCTAAACGTCTGGGAGAGGGGTCCTGTGCCTGGTGCCTCCGGGGCTTTGATTCTTACAAGACTCCTGGCTCGTGCTGAACTCAGATTTTTGTTTTCCAAATCCTCACCCGAGGATATTTTTCCATTTATCTTCAGACACAGTGTGAAGGAGGGGGAGAGAGAGAGAGAGACATCGATGTGAGAGATTCATCGCCTGGTCACCACCCACACGACCTGAACTGGGGCCAGGGACAAAGCACAACCGAGGTCCATGCCCTTAGTGGGAACCAAACCCGGGTCTCTCTGGTCCGCGGGCTGATGCTCTAACTGCTGAGCCAAACTGGCCAGGGCTGGGTGGTTTTTTTTGTTTGTTTGTTTTTTAAGCACAGCCTCAACTGAAAAGTTGACACCATGGTTCACCTTGAAATGTAGTTGTTCAGGGCGTTGAAGAAGCCCTTTTTTAGACAAGATTTTTAAACTAAAACGAATACCTGTAATACGTGTAATTTTTAAACATTGATTTCAGAGTAGGGAAGGGACAGAGAGACACATTGGTTGCCTGCTCTGCGCACCCTGAGCAGGGACAGACCCACAGCCTCTGCTGCATGAGACGAGCCACCTGGTCGGGGCCCTGTCATTTTTTGATCCTGTGCTTTTCACTTTAGAAAATAAAATATTTTCCTATTTTCATAGAATTTCTAATTTAAAGTTAATGGTACTTTTAGATCGTGGGTTATAATTCATGTTATTTTCACAGAATTTTTTTTTTTTTTATTCTCACTCGAGGACATTTCCCCATTTCTTGTTCAGACAGAGTGGGAGGGAGAGAGAGAGAGAGAGAGAAACATCAACACAAAAGGGACACATCGAGTGGCTGCCTCCCGCACGACCCAACCAGGGCCGGGGACAAACTGCAACCAAGGTACGTGCCCTTAGCGGGAACTGAACCCGGGTCTCTCAGGACTGCAGGCTGACGCTCCAACTGCTGAGCCAAACTGGCCAGGACTATTATCACTGAATTTTTGGTGTACAAAGAGAACCCTGGGACCTTTCGGGCTCACTTACAGTACTTTTGACCATTGGCCCCGAGGTTGGACCGTGCTCAGCTGCTATCCTGGTGCTTGGGCCTCTGCTTCTCGCTAGTCTTCTAGTCCCGCGCCCCAGCCTGCACAGGAGGCAGCAGGCCTGCAGCGGACAGTCAGCACGGGGGGCCGGGCGGGGCTCTCACAGTGCCAGGAGACGGGCCGCTGGCACCCTGGCCTGGGCCCCCTTTCTCACGTGAACTGTTCCTGCCGCAGTCTGCCGGAGCTGCCTCGTCAAGTACCTGGAGGAGAACAACACCTGCCCCACCTGCAGGATCGTCATCCACCAGAGCCACCCGCTGCAGTACATCGGGTAAGCGGGCCCCCGCCCAGTGCCGTGGCCGAGGGGTTGCGGGCACTGCCGGGCCATCTCTGCCAGTCCCCAGCTGTGCTCCGGTCTGCAGAGCATGGGCTGGGCTGTCACGGAGAACGGAGCCTGCTCTCCAGCGGGCGGGGCACTGGTCACCAGGAGGATCCTGTCGGGGTTGCCATTCGAAGTGTCTGTGCACAGCTAGTGCATAAACTCGATGGTGCGTCAGGCCCCGGGACACTGCTGAGTGGGAAGCTTGTGAGAATCACGGAGCGAGCTTCTGGTTTACCTGTCTTCTCTTCGCAGCCATGACCGGACCATGCAGGACATTGTTTACAAGCTGGTTCCAGGCCTGCAGGAGGGTGAGTGTCAGCATGGCCGCTGGCGTGCTGTCCCTCGGGGGCTGGTCGGGGTGCGAGGCCCTTCGTTCGGCAGAGCCGCCTTGTCTCTGCTCTGAACTCCCTGCGCCCGGGGCTGGTCTCGCCCGTTGCCTCACCTTCATCTGCAAAGCCCTTTGTGGGGGCGCAGCAGGCACAGGGGTGCAACAACTGTGTGTTTAAAGTGAATCCCATTGGGAATTTAAAAGAAACGTCACGTGCTGCACGTACCCCGAGATGGGAGCAGCTGTTCTTTCAAAGGTTCGCACAGCTCTGAGCACAGACTGCTCTGCGCTTGCTGGGGGGAGGCTCGGGTTCCGCTCCGTGTGGGCGGCAGGCTGGTGGTGCCCCCTGCTGGTGACATGTGGATGCTGTCTCCAAGGTGAGGCTTGTTAGGAACTCTGTTTCTCCTGGTTAAATTCCAGGGGAGGGTTATAACTTACAATACAGCGACTGCGTTAGCTCAGGAGAGATTGTTCCTGCCCTTGGGAAGTCTCCCAGACGTGGAATTCATTCACACAGGAATGAAATTGCCCAAGGAAACGTGGTAGTCCCCTTCGATTAGGGTTCAGTCTGGTAAACGGGAGACAGTGCCTCAGAACGAAACTGTGGGATCATTTGAACACGGCGTCGGCAGAACCCGCCACATCGAGAGCCCCGTGTCTGTCCAGAGCTGGGAACCTCTCGGAGGTTCTGGGAACCGCAGTTCGACTTCATTTCCTTTTCGTAGTGGCTTCCAAACTGTTTTTCATGTGACATTTGTGATGTTAATACAGTTTATTGGCTGCTTAAGATTAAAGGTTATGTGTTAATCTTTAACAGCGGAGATGAGAAAACAGAGGGAATTCTACCACAAGTTGGGCCTGGAGGTGCCCGGAGACATCAAGGGGGAGACCGGCCCCGCGAGGCAGCACTCGGACCCCCACCGGAACGGTAAGGAGGGCAGGGGCTTGCAGGCCAGACCCTGCCCCAGGCTGGTGGGGAGAGCGGCCTCTGTGAGTGTCCAGACGGGCTCTCGCGGGGCTGTGGGCAGAGGCACCGAGGCGCAGGTGGCCCTCGAGGACGTCGCGAGTGTGTTTCGTTGTAGGACGGCCAAGGAGCATTCGGTGCTCGCGTAGAACGGATGGCATTTTAAATCCACGTGGCGTGACAGAGTATCGAGACCTTTGATGCCGTGATGTGTCCTCGTGGCACACAAACTCCTAGGCGACGTGAGACCGCCCCGGGCGTCTCACTGTCCGAGTAGGAAGGGCGCCCCTGGTGGCCCTGGGCTCCCGGGAGGCGGTGGGTGCAACGTAGGGGAGCCCAGGGCTGTCCCCACATGGCGTCTTCATTTCCAAAGTGGCATCGATGCCCTGGTTGGTGTGGCTCAGTGTTTGGAGCGTCTACCTGAGGACCAAAGAGTCACATGTTCGATTTCAGTCAAGGGCATGTACCTCGGCTGTGGTTTGTTCCCGGCCCTGGTAGGGTCGTGCGGGAGGCAGCCAGTCGATGTGTCTGTCTCACATCAACGTTTCTCTCTCTTTCTTCCAATTTATCTGAGGATAAATGGAAGAATATCCTCGGGTAAGGTTTAAAAAAAAAAGTGGTGTTGAGCAGTACCTCCTCTGGTGCCTGCAGATGGGACCCTGGAGGTTGAGATGTTGAGCGTCGGGTAGCGTTGGAGGCGCCGCAGCCACCGTGTGGCCCCTCTCACCATCCACAGTCGTCACCGTCTGTGCCCCTCATGCCGTAGAGCACACAGAATCCGCCCCTGGGCCTGACTGAAGAGCACACATCCAACAGGACCCTGTCCAGCCCTCTGAGGGCGTGCTCTGCAGTGTGTGCTCTGCAGCGTGTGCTCTGTGCATATGCTCTGCGGAGTGTGCTGTACGTCGTGTGCTGTGTGGTGTGTGCTCTGAGGTGTGTTCTCTGCGGCGTGTGCTGTACAGTGTGTGCTGTATGGTGTGTGCTCTGTTGTGTGTTCTCTGCGGCGTGTGCTCTGCGGCATGTGCTGTACTGCATGTGTTGTATGGTGTGTGCTCTGCGGCGTGTGCTGTATGGTGTGTGCTCTGTGGCGTGTGCTCTGCGGCATGTGCTGTATGGTGTGTGCTCTGTTGTGTGTGCTCTGAGGTGTGTTCTCTGCGGTGTGTGCTCTGTGGCGTGTGCTGTGCGGCGTGTGCTCTGCGGCATGTGCTGTATGGTGTGTGCTCTGTTGTGTGTGCTCTGAGGTGTGTTCTCTGAGGTGTGTTCTCTGCGGCATGTGCTGTACTGCGTGTGCTGTATGGTGTGTGCTCTGCGGTGTGTGCTCTGCAGCGTGTGCTGTACAGTGTGTGCTGTATGGTGTGTGCTCTGTTGTGTGTTCTCTGCGGCGTGTGCTCTGCGGCATGTGCTGTACTGCGTGTGCTGTATGGTGTGTGCTCTGCGGCGTGTGCTGTATGGTGTGTGCTCTGAGGTGTGTTCTCTGCGGCGTGTGCTCTGTGGTGTGTGCTGTCCAGCGTACACTCAGTCCAATCTTCACAGCACTTTGAGTACGCTGTCAAGTTAAAGTGACAGTTTCTCCCTGGCCTGTTTGGCTCGGTGCTTAGAGCACTGACCTTGGACCAAAGGGTTGTGAGTTTGATTCCTGGTCAAGGCATGTACCTGGGTTGCAGGTTCGACCCCCGACCCAGTTGGGGTTGTAGCCAATGGATGTGTCTCTCTCACATCAGTGCTTCTGTCTCTCTTCCTCCCTCCCTCCCTTCCACTCTCAAAAAAATTAATGAAACATATCCTCAGGTGAGGATTAACCAAAAAAAAATTAACGGTTTAACATTTTGGATTTAATAATACAGCACATTCTCTTTTTGCTAAAAGGTGAAACCAAAGCAGATGAGAGTTGCAACAAGGAGCCTGCGGAGGAGAAGCAGGAGGACGACAGCGACTACCACCGGAGCGACGAACAGGTGAGCCCCGCCCTGCCCCGCCCCATCCTGCCCCGCCCCACTGCTGGCTCCTCCCAGCCACTCCTCCTTGTCCAGGGGAGGCCACGAGGGACAGAAAACAGACGTAAAACATTCATTCATTTCCTTAGTTTTATCCTGTCAATTTCTTACATTATTTTTCTTTTTTATTTAATTATCAAAATAACATGCGCACCTGTGAAGCTTTTAGATAGAAAACAGGTGAGGTTCAGCCTGCGCACACCTTGGGTCTCCTCAGCCCATCCCCAGGTTGTCCCTGAACAAGCCGGTGCAGGTTTCAGGCCAGTAGACCGTGAGCCGGCGGGTGGGAAAGAAGCTCCCGCCAGTTCACGGAGGACCCGTCCGTGTGCCTGCTGCAGCTTCAGGGAGGAAGGAGGAGCCCGACGGCCCCATCGAGTCTCAGACCTGGGGCGCGAGCTGTGCCCGTTGCGCTCTCCGTGAACTCGGCCTCCAGAGAGCCAGACGCAGTGATGTCTGTGAGCCGTCCCTCAGCCCAGATGGACAGAAGCAGGGGGGTGAGAAGAACACGCCAGGTTCTTAGGTCAGGCTCATCTGACGTCACTGGGGACATGACCGTTAGGGTTCGCTGTGCTCACAGGCTGAAAAGGTCGATGTGCAACAATCAGCAGATGTGAGTTATTCCACACGAACAGACACCTTGAGTAGCCTCCCGGGAAGTGAGTGAGGCCTCAGTGAAGACAGTGAGGCCTGGAGGAGGCGGGGAGGGGAGGGGAGACCGCGGCCTGTCCCTAGAGGGAGGGTTGTGTGAAGATCCCGGTGCTCCCCACATCGAGCTCAGAGGTGGTGGTTTTCCGTTTGTTACGGAATTTAACCAGCAGGGGAGACAAGCTCGAGGACAGCCGGGGGGGGGGGATGGGCCAGGCAGGGCATGCAGGTGACACTTGTGCACACACACATCATGCTCAGACACACCTGTGTGTGTGATAATTACATGGATGTGCACGTTCACCAGGCGCAGTCCCGGGATGAGCCTTCCCGTTCCGGTCTCTGCCTGTGCGCCACGGGGACAGTGCGAGGGCGTCTGTGCTGCGGGGACAGTGCGAGGGCGTCTGTGCCGTGTGCTGCGGGGACAGTGCGAGGGCGTCTGTGCCGTGTGCAGTGGGGACAGTGCGAGGGCGTCTGTGCCGTGTGCTGCGGGAACAGTGCGAGGGCGTCTGTGCCGTGTGCTGCGGGGACAGTGCGAGGGCGTCTGTGCCGTGTGCAGTGGGGACAGTGCGAGGGCGTCTGTGCCGTGTGCTGCGGGCACAGTGCGAGGGCGTCTGTGCCGTGTGCTGCGGGCACAGTGCGAGGGCGTCTGTGCCGTGTGCAGCGGGGACAGTGCGAGGGCGTCTGTGCCGTGTGCTGCGGGCACAGTGCGAGGGCGTCTGTGCCGTGTGCAGCGGGGACAGTGCGAGGGCGTCTGTGCCGTGTGCTGCGGGGACAGTGCGAGGGCGTCTGTGCCATGCAGTGTGCTCGGCCGCACCCCAGGTCTTGGGGACCAGACAGACTGAGAGCTGGGGAGTCAGCGCCCTCTGGGGCCCACCATTCACCCACTTCCTGGACGGCCCCTCAGCGTCATCGGCTGCTGGCCGCAGGGCTCCCCTCTGTCCCCACCTCTGCCCACCCTTGGAGCTGCAGGGGCCCTGAAGACGGCTGCTGCCCAGGCCCATGGGCCAGGCCGGGCGGGTGCTCAGTCCAGTGATGGGGCAGAGGCTGGGGGTCAGGAGGTCGGCTTCCAGGCCAGACAGGTAGGCGCGGCTGCCAGTGGGGACTGGATGTGCCCCTGTGGAAGCTCAGCCCGCTAGGTAGGGGCCCAGGTCTGAGGGCAGTAGCCCGACAGCCCCGTCCGTGTCTGCTCACTGCTGTCTGGACCCCCGCTCGGGCGGGCGGGGACGTTCTGCTGCAACCGGAAGGAGGGTCCAGACCCTTGGCTGCGAGGCCACAGGCTCCTGCCCGTCCTGCCCTGAGAGTTTTCACTCAGAGGCCACAGGTTCGCCCGGTGCTTTTCCAGCGTCTGCCGCACGGCCTGCCGCACGCGGGGCTGTGTGCACGTCTCTGTTGTCAGAACCGTCCTTGTGGTCGTTCCTGAGACGGGTCTGGTCGTGGTTTTAAAAAGTGTCTCTGGGTGTGCTGGTGCTGACGCGGACTGTGCGTTCAGACAGGCCCCGCCCACCACGCACGCGTGGTGTCGCATGTGAGCGGGCACTGCGGCCCCGCTGCCCCCTTGTTCTCTCCGGGAAGTGTGTCAAGTCGAGATGGCAAGTTGTTGACCTTTGTTCCTTTTCTAGCTTCCTGGTCGATTATTTGTATAGTTTCTAACTAGACTACTTTTGTGAATATTTTTAAATTATCACTATGATTTCTTTCTTAACCCATGGGTTATTTTTAGTTTCAGTTTTTGTTAATCTGCACTTGAGGATATTTTTTCCATTTATCTTCAGACAGAGCGGGAGGGAAGGGGAGAGAGAGAGAGAGAGATCAGTTGGTTGCCTGTTGCACAACCCCAACCAGGGCCAGGCACCAAACTGCAACCGAGGTACATGCCCTTGACCAGAATCGATCCCATGACTCTTTGGTCTGCGGGCTGATGCCCTAACTGCTGAACCAACCCGACCGTGGTTTTCTATTGATTTTTAGAGAGAGTGAGCCAGCAGACGCCTCTCCCTGTGCCACGCTGTGTGGACATGGGCCTGGCCCCTGTGCTGTGTGGACGTGGGCCTGGCCCCTGTGCCGTGGGGACGTGGGCCTGGCCCCTGTGCTGGAGGGACGTGGGCCTGGCCCCTGTGCTGGAGGGACGTGGGCCTGGCCCCTGTGCCGTGGGGATGTGGGCCTGGCCCCTGTGCCGTGTGGACGTGGGCCTGGCCCCTGTGCCGTGTGGACGTGGGCCTGGCCCCTGTGCTGGAGGGACGTGGGCCTGGCCCCTGTGCCGTGTGGACGTGGGCCTGGCCCCTGTGCTGTGTGGACGTGGGCCTGGCCCCTGTGCTGGAGGGACGTGGGCCTGGCCCCTGTGCCGTGTGGACGTGGGCCTGGCCCCTGTGCCGTGTGGACGTGGGCCTGGCCCCTGTGCTGGAGGGACGTGGGCCTGGCCCCTGTGCCGTGGGGACATGGGCCTGGCCCCTGTGCTGGAGGGACGTGGGCCTGGCCCCTGTGCCGTGGGGACGTGGGCCTGGCCCCTGTGCCGTGTGGACGTGGGCCTGGCCCCTGTGCTGGAGGGACGTGGGCCTGGCCCCTGTGCCGTGGGGACGTGGGCCTGGCCCCTGTGCTGGAGGGACGTGGGCCTGGCCCCTGTGCCGTGGGGACGTGGGCCTGGCCCCTGTGCTGGAGGGACGTGGGCCTGGCCCCTGTGCCGTGGGGACGTGGGCCTGGCCCCTGTGCTGTGTGGACGTGGGCCTGGCCCCTGTGCTGTGTGGACGTGGGCCTGGCCCCTGTGCTGGAGGGACGTGGGCCTGGCCCCTGTGCCGTGGGGACGTGGGCCTGGCCCCTGTGCCGTGGGGACGTGGGCCTGGCCCCTGTGCTGGAGGGACGTGGGCCTGGCCCCTGTGCCGTGGGGACGTGGGCCTGGCCCCTGTGCTGGAGGGACGTGGGCTTGGCCCCTGTGCCGTGGGGACGTGGGCCTGGCCCCTGTGCCGTGGGGACGTGGGCTTGGCCCCTGTGCCGTGGGGACGTGGGCCTGGCCCCTGTGCTGGAGGGACGTGGGCCTGGCCCCTGTGCTGGGGGACGTGGGCCTGGCCCCTGTGCCGCGCTGGAGGGACGTGGGCCTGGCCCCTTGCTGGAGACGTGGCCGGCCCTGTGCCGGCGCTGGTGGACGGGCCTGGCCCCTGTGCTGGGGGATGTGGGCCTGGCCCCTGTGCTGGAGGGACGTGGGCCTGGCCCCTGTGCTGGGGGACGTGGGCCTGGCCCCTGTGCCGGGGGGACCTGGGCCTGGCCCCTGTGCCGTGCTGGGGGACGTGGGCCTGGCCCCTGTGCCGGGGGGACCTGGGCCTGGCCCCTGTGCCGTGGGGACGTGGGCCTGGCCCCTGTGCCGGGGGGACCTGGGCCTGGCCCCTGTGCCGGGGGGACCTGGGCCTGGCCCCTGTGCCGAGCCCTGTCCCGCTGCAGAGTGCTCGGCAGACAGAGCTCCTGTGTCTGTTGGTGTAACTCGGCCCAGCCCAGAGCCTGCAGTGAATGGATAGGTCTCGGATCCACTCCCAAGTGCTGTCGATGAGACAGGACTGACAGCGCACAGCGCACGTCACGAAATGGCAAACGGTGAACTGGTGTTAAGACAATGTGCGTAAAATGACTTTTAAAACCCCTTTCCCACAGTGTTGGGGTCTGGGTGATTTCTGATTTCAAAAAAGCCAGCGCCCTTAGACCTCGCAGCACCGCGGGCAGCCGGCCTGTGCCCGGAGCGCCCGCCAGCTGGTGTGTCCCCGCAGGTGAGCATCTGCCTGGAGTGCAACAGCAGCAAGCTGCGCGGCCTGAAGCGCAAGTGGATCCGCTGCTCCGCCCAGGCCACCGTGCTGCACCTCAAGAAGTTCATCGCCAAGAAGCTCAACCTCTCCTCCTTCAACGAGGTAACGCTCGCCGGCGCCGCTGCAGCACCTTTCTTACTCGTGTCAGCCTGCTTCCAGGGACGGGGTCGTTCCCACAGCCGTCGGAGCGCCCTCGGGGGTCTCGGTGTGTTGTGCCTGCCCCCAGAGAGTGAGGGCAGTGCGTGGCCCGGGGACCCTGCACGGGGGCCCACTGCTAATAGGGGAGAAAGGGGTCCCAGGGGCCACTGCCCCATGTTGAAGGGTTCATTTCACAAGGTGGATGGGACTGCAAGATAGGTAGGGAGATAGAATACTTCAGGTTGTGATTGTTGCGGAGACTAAAATAAAGCCTGGTGACTTAGTTGTGCCCAGTGAGGGGGCACATTAGCTGGGGTCACGGGGAGTCCCCTGAGGGGCCGCGTGGAGGTAGCTGTCTGTGGGTCACAGTGCAGGGCCGCGTGTGAGGGAGGGCCTGGCCTTAGGCGTGGACACACGGTTTGAGCTGCCGTTTCACAGTGGTCCTCGGGCTGTGAGAGACATGGATGGTCGCCCTGGCCGGTACAGCTTAGTGGGTAGAGTGTAGCACATAAACCAAAGGGTCACGGGTTCGATTCCCGGTCAAGGGCAGGTACCTGGGTTGCAGGTTTGATCTCTGGCCCTGGTCGGGTCATGCAGGAGGCAACCAATCGATGGGTCTCTCTCACATCGATGTTTCCCTTTCTCTTCCTCTTCCTCCCGTCCACTCTCTAAGAAAAAAAAAATCATTGGAAAAAATATCCTCAGGTGAGGATTAACAAAAAGAAAAACAGATCATCGGAGTACAGAAGTGGAAGCCAGAGAGACCAGTCGGGGGTGTCTGTGGCAGGAGGGGTGGACCAGGCAGTGCAGGGCCGTGGGGGTGGACAGGCTTGAGCCGCACTTTGGAGAGTAGCACTCGGGCGGCGGCCCAGCCGCGCTGCATCCAACCTGCTGGGCCTGTGAGTGTGGCCTTCGGGGCGGGAGGGTCTTTTCAGGGTAATTAAGGATCTTGAGATGAAATGATCCTGTCTGTCTGGTGGACCCTCAATCCAATTACAAGTGTCCATACAAGGAGAGCCAGGCGGACGTCTGGACACAGAAGGAGACGTGGGGACACAGACAGTGTGGCCTGCGCACAGGAGGGACCCTCCCTGAGCCTCCAGCGCCAGCTCGACCTGCCCCACTGGACCGTGGGCTCCGGCTGCTGTCTGAGAGAGCATGTTCGTTTGTTCAGGCCACCGGGGTGCTGACACTTTGTCCGTTGCCGCGGGAAACCGAAGTAGGTTTTGGTGCCAGAAAGCGGAGAGCAGCCTAACGAAGACCGAGCACTGGCTGTGGCTTCGGCACTGGCTGTGGCTTCGGCACTGGGCGACAGTGGGGCCGGAAGAATTCGAGACGGTTTAAAAAGCCTAGCTCGCCTGGAAGAGCCTGCTGGTAGGAACGTGGTCCTTACAGGTGACTCTGGTGACAGCCCAGAGGGAGCGGGGAGCACAGAGTGCTTCTCGGAGGAGACGCGGCACCACAGACAGGGCTGGTGGAAGCAGGGTGTTAAAGGGCCTCCGTCCGTGCGCAGGAGCGAGCGTGCGGCTGCCGTGTTCTCCAGTCCTGGGGAAGCAGAACTTGGGTGTTCGCTGAGGGGACTTCGAGCAGAGTGTGGAAGTGCAGTCTAGTCTCTCCTACTTGAGATGAAATAGGAGAGGAGGCAGGAGCTCAGAAAGGAACTGCTGAGCAAATCAAACCAGCGCTTGGTGCCCTGGGGATCCACGCCTGACAGATCGAGGGAGAGGCCTGTGCTAGGGACCCGCTGTGAGGGAAGCTCTGCGGAGGCCGGGCTGCGGCCGGACAGCCTTCTGCTGGACAGATTGGTGGTGTGACGCGCGGTAGCCCGGCCCTCTGGGAGTGGAGAGGGTTACTAGGGAAGATCTCTGGAGCATCTTTCTGTCTGATGTCCTGGGCCCGAGACTACATGGGAGACCCTCAGAGTGCGTGCGAGTATCGGAGCAGCAGAAACACCGCCCACTTGGACTGAAGGAGACAGAAGCAGGAGGCGCTGAGAGCAGGCTTCCGGTTCTGTGCGGAGCCTGAGCTGACGGAGCTCCTCGGGCGCGAACAGGGGCTGCCCCTCAAGAGAAAGGAGGGCTGTCTCCAAGGGCAGAGCTTGGGCCCAGAGGGCAGAACCTCGACCACGGTGTGCTCTCTGGCAGCCTGTGGGATTTCCCTGCTGGGTGTCAGACTTGCTTGGGACCACCGCCCTTTCTGCTTTCTCACAGGCCTCCCCGGGGGAGAGGGCTGTCCTGTGCCGGCTGCTCCCTTGTGTTTGGGAGCAGGTGTCCTGCCTTCTGGTCTCGCAGGTTCACAGCCAGGGAGGAATTTTGCCCCAGGATGGGCCATAACCAGAGTCTCACCTACACTGATTGACATGATTTAGAAATAGGATCTGGGATTTTTGAACTGCTAATATCTAGATGGGATTTGGGAGTTGATGCTGGGATCAGTGGAAGCTCGGGGGATGGGCTGAATGTGTTTGGCTTGTGGGTAGATGTGGACGTGGGGCATGAGAAGGCTGACTGCAGTGGGGCGAGTGGTGACCTCACCAAAGACATGTCATTTCCTACCCCCAGAGCATGGTTCTGGCTTCGGGTGACATCGGATATGTGCTAAGAACCTGGAGATGGCCCTGGCCCATTTGGCTCAGCGGTTAGAGCATCGGCTGGCAGACCAAAGAGTCACAGGTTCAATTCCAGTCAAGGGCATGTACCTCGGTTGTGGTTCGCCCCCGGCCCTGGTCAGGTCGTGCAGGAGGCAACCAGTCGATATGTCTCTCACATCGATGTTTCTCTCTCTCTCTCCCCTCTCCAACTCTATTTGAAGATAAATGGAAAAATATCCTCAGGTGAGGATTTAAAAAAAAGAATCTGGAGATAAAGAGATTATTCTGAATTACCCAGTGGGGCCTGAGTGCAATGGTGAGGGGTCTCGTGAGAGACGGGGCACTAGTTGTCTCGATGGACTTAAAAGGTGGACATCACATGAGGTGTCTTCTCTGGCCGCAGCGCGTGGAGTTGGAAATCAATAAAAGGGGAACTGGGACATTCACAGAGTTGTGGAAACAAACACACTTTTATTTTACTTTTATTATTATTTTAATTCTCACCCGAGGATATTCCCCGTTTATTTTCAGACAGAGTGGGAGGGAGGGAGAGAAAGACGCAAGAAAGACACATCGAACCGCGGCCGATTGGAATTGAACCTGTGACACATTGCCTCCCACTGACCCTGACCCGGGCCGGGGACCGGACTGCACCCGAGGTATATGCCCTTGATTGGAATGGAGCCCGCGACTCTGGTCTGCGGGCCGATGCTCTAACCACTGAGCAACCGGCCAGGGCCAGACAACACACTTGTAAGCAACACATGAGAAATGTGTAAGATCACATGAGAAATCGAGCAGAATTGAAAATACTTAGCGACGGTTAGAGATGAGAGCACGACATCCCGGCTCTCGGCGCCCCGAGAGCAGTGCCGGGGGCTGGGCTGCAGCACTCGGGTCAAGACAGATCTCAGCCTGCAGCCTCAATCTACAGCTTAAGGAACTAAGGAAAAGCAAGCTAAACCCAAACCCAGCAGAAGAAATGAAATAATAAAGACGGTGGCAAAAATAAACAAATAAAGAGTAAAAAAACAACAAAGAAAATCAATGGTTCTTCAAAAAGGTCAACAAAATTGAGTTTTCTTTTTTTTTTTTATCCTCACTCGAGGACATTTTTTCATTTTTTGTTCAGATAGAGTGGGGGGAGAGAGAGAGAGAGAGAGAAAGGGACACATCGAGTGGCTGCCACCCGCACGACCCAACCAGGGCCAGGGACAAACTGCAACTGAGGTACATGCACTTAGTGGGAACCGAACCCGGGTCTCTCTGGTCCACAGGCCAACGCTCTAACCGCTGAGCCAAACCAGCCAGAGCCAAAATTGAGTTTTCTAGAATGGACTAAGAAAGAAAGAATAAAAATTACTAAAATCAGAAATGAAAGTGGGGACATCACTGTGATTCTAGAGAAATAAAAGGGATTATAAGAGAATTCTGAACAACTACACACCAGCAAATTGAATAACCTAGGCGTAGTAGACAAACACCTGGAAACATGAAGCCGACCAAGACTAAATAATAAGCAAGTGGAAAATCTGAGTAGTCCTATAACTAGTAAGGAGATTGAATCATTAATCAGAAATCTCTCAACAAGGAAAAACCCTGGTCCTGATGGCTTCACCGGTGAATTCTACTGAACTTTTAAGAAGAACCAATACTTATCCTTCTTAAACTTCTCCAGAAAATTGAAGAGGTGACAATACGTCCCAACTCCTTTCATGAGGCCCGTGTTGCCCTGATACCAAAGCCAGACAAACACTGCAGGAAAAGACAGCCATGGGACAGTGTCTCTGATGAACATGCATGCAAAATCCTCACCAGCAGTTCGTCCGCATGTTAGAAGGATCATGCGCCGTGACCACGTGGGATTTGTACCTGGAATGCAAGGACGGCTCGACATGACAGCCGATGGATGTGATCTGTCCCATCAGGGAATGAAGGGAGAAGAGTATGATCATCTCGACTGACACAGGAAAAGCGTTTGACAACATTCAGCATCCTTTCACGATAACAGTCAACTAGGGATAGAAGCCAGGTATGAAATGAAAAGAGAATAAAAGCCATACATGAAAAACACACCATGAGCATCATCTCAGTGGTGAGTTTGGGGGGCTTTTTCTCTAAGGTCAGGAACAAGACAAGGTGCCCACGCCACCCCTCTCCTCAGCACATTGCTGGGGGTCCTAGCTAGAACAACTAGGCAAGAAAAAGAAAGCAACTCATTCAAATGGAAGAGGAAGGAGTGAAGTTACCTGTGTGCAGGTTATGTGACCATGTGTGTGGAAGAGCCTAGACGTCCCACACCACCGCCTGTGAGCACGATGGGTGAGCCCGCCGGCAGCTGAGCCCAGCCACAGAGCCCAGCCGCGTTTCTAGG